GATGGAGTCCATGAAGCTGCCGATGACGTCCACGATGAGAAGTCCGGAATGCCGTCGAGGAAGAGCCGCAGCGTCGACGAGCTGAAGTAGCAAAACTGATGTGGATGGAGTACTGAGAAGTCAAAGACGTGGGAAGGTAAGTCGGAGTCAATCGTCGTATCGAGCAGGACGACGACGAGTGCGCTGTGGACGCTCAGAAGCATCCGGCTGCTGCTGAAGGTCAGCCTCAGATGGAGCAGGCTCAACTTCAGCGGTCTCCTCAGCCGGAGGAGAAGGAGGAGGGTCAGTGGGTTGAGGAGGAGCAGTGAACCCAGCACGACGAGCACGGTCATAAGCACGCACCAACATGCGAGCGTGCTGCAAGTGCTCAAGGGGCTCCCAGGTAGCCTCCTCACCAGGGTAACCCTTCCAACGTATGAGATACTCGACGTGGGGAGGGTTGTCGTCGGTGACTCGGCGACCAATGATGTCTGAAACAAGGAACTCCTCGTGGCCGTCCACCATGATGGGTGGAGGGCGCTCGTATGGTCGTCCAGCGAAACGCTCAGACGGTCTGCGGTAAGGACGCAGTAACAAGACGTGGTAGACATCATGCACACGAGCCTGACGTAGGTAGTCGGGCAGCTTCACACGAAAGCTGACCGGGCTARATGCCGTATCAGAACCGATGGCTTGGAGGATGCGGCATGGGCCAAAGAAGCGACGCCGAAACTTGCGAAGCGTGTCCGCTTCGAGCTGTAAGTGGCGGGCGTCGATAAGCACATCATCACCGACCTTGAATGGGTGATCCATCCTCGATCGGTTCGCACGTGCTGCCATGCGAGTCTGGGAAGCGGCTATRTGCTCATGTGCGGTCTTCATAATCGACGTCATGTGTGCAACCCAATCATCCAGCGCGGGACAACTCGTGTCGGGGTGCAGCTGGGACGGTCGAAGGAAGTCCACGGGAACACGCGGGTGATAGCCGAGGTCGCAATAGTAAGGCGACATCCCCGTGGCTGGCGAGACGACGTGGTTGTAGGCTATCTCCGCGTGGGCAAGATGGAGATCCCACTGCTGGTCGTTACGAACAATCTTTCGGAGAATATCCCCGAGAGTCCTGTTTGTGATCTCGGTCTGACCATCAGTCTGAGGATGGTAAGACGAGGAGAAGCGGAGCTGAGTGCCGTACACCTCGTGGAGCCGTCGCCAGAATTGGCTGGTAAAGCGCGGGTCACGGTCAGATATGATGCTCAGAGGTAAGCCGTGGTCACGCACGACTCGGTCAAATACGATGTCGGCGACCTCACGTGCACTGATGGCATAGCGGCACGGAACAAAGCGTGCACGCTTCGTGAAGCAGTCGACGACGACCAGGATAGCATCATGACCGCGGGTGGTCGGAGGTCGAAGAGGACCGATAAAGTCCATCGAGATGGACTGCCAACGACCCTCAGGGATAGGAAGAGGCTGGAGCAAACCATAAGGTAGGTGGTTCGCACTGTTCACCTCCTGACAGGTGGGACACTCTGCGACGTAGTCCTTCACAAAATCCTTGCGCTTCGGCCAGACGTACAGGCGGCTCACACGAGCCAACGTATTGTGGAAGCCCATATGACCGGCAGCTGCCTGGTCATGGAACTCTGCTACTGCTCGGACACGTAGCTATCCAGTGGAGGGAACGCAAATACGGGGCTCTCTGGTGCCCTGTGAACCGTGCTAGTACACAAGACCGTTGTCCCCGAGAGAGTAGTTCGGGACGGTCTTGCTACTCCGAAGGGTCGCGTGGATGTCGCGATAGTCGGGGCAGTGGCGGTACTGAGTGCGAAACTCGCCGATCACCGAGTGGTGGACGGTGGTGACCGAGATGGAAGAGAGCTGGATGTGCTCCTGGTCGTGGTCAGGGCGCCGGGATAGGTCATCTGTGACCCGATTAGTCTCACCCTTGATGTGCTTAGTGGTGAAACTAAACTCGGATAGGTCGCTCCACCAGCGAGCCTGTCGAGGAGTGAGCTTCGGCTTTGTCAGAAAAGCCTGGACAACAGAGTTGTCCGTGCGCACCGTGAATGGTGCCCCGTGCA